GCGGAAGCGGAGGGCTACTGCCCTCTGGGACGGGGTCATGTCGGGACTCGCATTATGGGGCAGCTGAATCAGGAGGTGTTTTTGGAGTTGCCTGTTAACCACAGCCCAGCCTTCAGCCCTTGGTCGCTGTTGGGTGGTGGAAGTCTGTGGAGAAATGGGCCTCGCTCCTCCAGTTCAGTCCTTCGCTTGGAGAAATCGGCTTCTCTCCCCATCATGCATTTCCAACGTCTTTCCTTTGCGTTTATTTCTGAGTGGGAATGTCAATATCCCCTCGTATCTAAAGACTTCAGACTGCAGAGTGGAGTCAGTCCAATTCACTTTTAACCAGTTTAAAGAGCGAAAAACAGTATACTGTATGAGGAGAGGAGCGTGTCTTGTGTCTGTATTGTGTTGTGTTTGCCTGTTTTTCCCTTCACCCTGGCTAGGTGCCTAGGCCATTTTCATCCCAGGCATCCACTACAGAGACACTCCCACCGCTTAACCATTTCCTGTCGTTACTGACGTTGCCCTCTCCTTCCTTTTAGCCAGGGGACTGTTTTTGTCCCCAGCCATGGCATCCCCACGGCAACCCTATGTGGATACGGCTCCAATCCTGACCCAGGCAGATGACACCGAAGATGAGGAAAAGGAAGGGCTTCAGTCAGGACCCGGAGGAGTAGGAGATATAGAGGTCCTTACAGGCATCTCCTCTTTGCATGCTGGATTTATCGTGGGGGTCTTGTTCTTCATTAACTTGCTGAACTACATGGATCGCTTCACCGTGGCCGGTAAGGACAGTGTCATGCCTTGGAGTGATCAACTAAATCAAGTCTCTTTTTCCCCACTTGAGTGTGATTTGGGGGCGGGGTGTGGAGGTGTAGTTTTGAGGCAGAATAATGTTGAGCTCCCTTACCATCCCTAGACCTATTGGTTATGGACGTGATTGTTTGACCAAGAGGTAACTCTTCTATGTCTTCTACATCAGGTGTTCTTCCTGACATTGAGACTTTTTTTAGTATTGATGACAGCAAATCAGGACTCCTACAAACAGGTGAGGAGCAAAGTGATGGTGTCTAGTCTTTTCTTACCGTGCTTCTCCCAGTTTTAATTATTCCAAATAATGTGTACCATTGTGGCTTTTCTCTCTCCCCCCCCCCTTGGCAGTTTTTATTAGCAGCTATATGGTCCTGGCTCCAATTTTTGGTTACCTGGGTGATCGCTATAATCGTAAATATTTGATGTGTGTCGGGATCTTCTTCTGGTCATGTGTGACATTGGCAAGCAGCTACATCCCCAGACAGGTATTGTGAGTCAGTTCTGTACACCTGTTTTCTCCTTTCCCTCACACCTCTGGGCAAGAGTTGTTTCCGGATGTGCTGAAAACTTCAGAATTGGTCTGAAGGTGTTCCTCTTTGCCAATCTATTTCCAGAAGTTCTGAAATCTGTATCAGTTGTGACCCTTAGCTGTGTACTGTAAACTTTTATTAAGTCTACAGAAGTCAATAGACAATAAAAAACTTGCATGTTTGCCCTTCGATTTCCTGAAAGAGATTCACCCTTTCAGACATTCTGAGAAGAGTAGGTATTTATAAAGCATATCTGATCAAGGTTCAACTATGTTTGCCTTGTGGCTTCCAATTACAAAATTGCAGTTGTGATAAGAGATTGGGAGTGTTTTAAAGAACTCTTAGTGCTCATTAGTGACTGCAGCTCCCAGATTGGGGCAGGGGGGATGTTTCCATCTTGGAACACAGATGCATCTTAATGCTTTATCATTGTCTGTTTTCTTCCCCATGTAGTGGTTTTCACTTTTATTGCTGACCCGAGGCTTGGTGGGTGTAGGGGAGGCTAGCTACTCAACCATCGCCCCTACCATCATCGCTGACCTGTTTGTGGGTGAGCGGCGATCCCGCATGCTCAGCATCTTCTACTTTGCTATACCTGTGGGCAGGTAGGAACAGTCTGCACTCAGTATGGTGGGGTGGATTGAGTTATGGTCTCTGACTGGTGAATTTTGTCTGGAGATGCTTGTTTTAGTTGTCCTTGGGGCTTACTGTTTATTTGGATCCATTCCAATTTGGGTAAAAAGTGGTTTGTGGATTGAAACAGTGTTGGGCACTCTGGTGGATGATTTGCACTTGGGGGAGGGGCATGAAGGGTCCAACGCTGTTCATTTCCCCCTGATCTCTTAATAACTTGTGATGTAATCGCTTGTGCTGTCTTTCTGGATCTCTTGCTGGGTTAGGTTTAAGGGATATAGAAGGACAGTGTCTGATTCTACCTGACTGGTTGGTCCTCAGTGGTGCTGCTAGTGACTTCATTTGTCTCTCCTAAATTTTGGTGTGTGGGTTACTACAAAGCACCATCTTGGGCCCTGTATCTATTTAATATTTACAGGAAACTACTGGGGGGACGTCATACAAATGTTTGGGCTTTACTGTATCTGTATGTCAGACACATTGGAGAAATGTGCTGATCTGGATAGAGGGATTCAACTGGTATTGGTTGAAGTTACACTCTCTCTGATAGACTAAGTTCATAGCTGGTGGAGCCTTCTGGTTGCCTGGATAGAGGGATTCAACTGGTACTGGTTGAAGTTACACTCTCTCTGAAGTTCATAGCTGGTGGAGCCTTCTGGTTGCCGACTCTGAAAGCGCATGTAGTGGCAATTGCCAGAGTCCTTTTTACAAAGTCAAATAGAGACGACTTGTGCATATCTGGACATATCCTTGTTACATTGAACCTGGATTGTTGCAATGTACCTGCAAAGGATTGCCTTTGGAGCTGGCTGGGAAACTTCAGCAAGTATAGAATGTAGCTGTTTGTGTCAGACAGTATCTTTGCATTGGTTAGGCTAGAGGTGTGTTTCATTTACATCTGTGTTGTATGAATTGTACTAGTTGTTAGTTTGTTCTCTCTCTTTCTCTGAGCCTAATTGAGAGTGCTGGTTTTGAGTTTTAAACCTCTAAAATGTTTGGATCTGGGTTATTGAAGGTCTGCCAGTATTCTTGTGAATCTGCCTGTGCCATAAGAAAATCTTCAGAGGCTGTACTCCCTAGACTACCACTAAGACCAGTAAAGTTGGTGGGCCTTCTTGGTGGTGGCTCCTATCTCAGAGGGCCATACTTCTGTAGTTAGTTCTTCTGGTCTTAGACTGAGTAGAGCTGCTAATTAGGGCTGCTGTGACTTTGCATTGATTTACATTTTGTTGCTTTTTTTTTTATTATACAACTGGCTTATTTTTAAAGAATAGGTTTATAGCTGTGCATTTTTCTGTTTTATTGTAAGTCTCCTTAGTAAGATGATAGGTGTAAAAACAACTAAGAGAAACAGAGCAAATAATAATTTAATGATTTTACAAACCAATGTTATGTGACTATCAACAGCAAATAAATCTATCTTCAGCATCTCTAGAATAATTTATGACAACAGCCAATACTAAGCAAGCATTCATTGGCTCTAACAGATTGGAGAGCATTTCTGGATGTGAATCTGATTGCTTTCCCCTTTTCCCCTGCAGTGGACTGGGCTACATTGTGGGGTCAAAGGTGAAAGACCTGGCTGACGACTGGCATTGGGCCCTGCGAGTAAGTAGGGTGGAGGTATCCTTGCATTGGTCAGTACTTGTTATCTTATGGCTTAGGGGCTATTTCAGGAATGCCCCCTTTCACCAAGCACTAGTCCACTGCCTGCCTTCTGTCCACATGCATAAGGTTTAATCTTTTTCTCTTTAGTATGTCCCACAGTGAAATCTCTTCTGCCTTGTGCTCCTCTACAGGTAACTCCTGGTCTGGGGCTGGTGGCGTTGGTGTTGCTGTTAACCATTGTCCGTGAGCCACCTCGGGGTGCTGTGGAGTCACACTCTGACGCCCCTCTGCAATATACTTCATGGACAGCTGACCTGCGGTCCCTGAGCAGAAAGTGAGTAACAAAAGAGAAGTTTCATTGTTTCCATCTTTCTACTTTACATTGATCTTAAATAACCACCTAGCTCTGTATTTAGTGCTTTATGTCAGTGCAGATATTTGTAGTAAGACATGGGTTAAAGCTGTCTTGTATTTAACAACTTACTTGGTAGCCATAGCTAGCCATGAAATTCTATGCAAGTGTGTGTATGGACTTTCAAGCAGATGCTAGTTTCTAGCAAGCAGGTTATAGTCCCTCTTCCATGGTTTCTGGACTAGCCATGGAGGAAGGTAAACCCCTTTCTCTGCAGCTGGCATAGAGATACAGACTGGTAATAGGAGAAAACACTCTGCTAGCCTGCTTACTAGAAAGCATTTTTGTTTGAATGCTGGCCATATTTCTATGTGGATGGTAGCCAGCATCAACACACAGGCTTCATAGCAGGCGAACAGTGCTTACAGCGTTATTTCCAGGACTGGAATGAAAGGCAATGCAAAAGCAAAGTGAGCTCCCTCGAGAAACCTGTGCAGCATCATTTGGTTTTTCAAAGCAGGATTTGATCACACATCCTTCCACAAGACTTCATGTCAGTTTTTGTTTCCCTAGCTGCATTGAAGCCAGTCTTGGGGAACTTCCATGATAAGATGAGAAATGGAAGGCGAACGTCTATGAACGTTGGCCTGTCCACACTGCCATTCTTCCCCACAAGGGGGTGCTGAGTATATTTTACAGTTTATGTTTATCTCATGATCACCAACAGGCCTGTGCTTCTCACCCATGCATGGCCCAAAAGGACATACTGTCAGACTTGTTTGCAATGCAGGGAGAAGGAATCAGTTTCTCGAAAGTGGAACATTCTAGAAACTCTTGCCTGAGCTTAGGATCCTGCTGAACAGCATTCTTGGTGAATGTGCCATCAGCATTGTCCTTTACACATGTTTTGCTTATATTAAAACATTGCTTTCTTTTTGCTCTTCTTTAAACTTTCTTTGCTGCCGTCTCTTCATTCTAGTTTTGCATCAGAGAAAGGAGTTTATAGACTGGTGATTGGACAGCTATTGTGAGCTGGTTCATCCTTGCAGAAATGATTCATTTGATTTCTTTCTATTTGTCTAGCAGTGGCTGTACTGGTGGCACAGCTGTAAACCTCAGGCCAAAAATCCTCTTATGTAGCTACGCCAGTGGTATAACTTTTGGAGGCAAATTGCTCCAAGTTACGAAATCACCGTAAACATTGTCAGTTGCATACTGAGTCATAGAACTCAAGGTGCAACAGATAATGTCTATGGTGATTTCTTAACCTGGGACAATTTTCCTCTAAAAGTTATGCTATTTGTGCTATGCCAGCATAACTAGGTAAGAGGATTTGGGGCACTGTGTGAGACAGATCTTGAAAAAGTTACTCTTGTGTTTTCTGAAATACAGCTCCTGAAACTGCCCCCTCCCAGATGTTCATAGTCTTGTTGAGTATTCTGGCACCTGTAGTTGAGAAAGTAACATCAGTCTAGAAAGCTTCCATCTTTCCTGTAGTGATTGATCTGAAGTGCCCTTACTGAATTCCACTGCCTGTTATAAATCAGCCCAGAAAGGTTATAATTTGAACAGAGAAAAGAATACTGTATAATTGAAGGAATTGTTAAGACTAAGCACGCTCACTCATGTATTCTCTTCAATCTCTTTTCTTTCTGTGTTCCTCTCACCGGCCAGTCGGAGTTTTGTGCTGTCATCCCTCGGCTTCACAGCTGTAGCCTTTGTAACAGGATCTCTGGCTCTGTGGGCACCTGCCTTCCTGTATCGCGCACGTGTGGCCAGTGGAAGCCTCCAGCCTTGCCCACCAGGGAAATTTTGCACTGGTGATTCGGACAGGTGAGTTAGTCATGGGAAGGATGCTTTGGATCATGACCTCTAGCTCAGGTCTCTTTGAAAAATCTGGTTTCACCATTTCTGGCACTTTTTCTTTCTTTCTAGCATAGTGGTAGAGCTGAAGCTATTTTAGTAGCATCTCTAATCCTGAGTCTTCCCCTGTCTTCCATAACATATAACAATTGCTTTGGATGTGTTGCCATCCTTCAGCTTCCCAGCCGTGGTATGGGGATAGTATTTTTGAACTACTTTATAGACTTCTTGTAAGGCTTGTCAGAAACTTTTCTCCCTTATAGGGCCGTTTAAATGCCATGTATGATTCTTTCTGCAGCCTAATCTTTGGCATAATCACTTGTGTAACCGGTGTGCTGGGTGTTACGGCCGGAGTGGAGATTTCCCGGCGCTGGCAACGCACGAACCCCCGTGCTGACCCCCTGGTTTGTGCAACTGGACTGCTTGGCTCTGCCCCGTTCCTGTTCCTCGCTGTGGTGACTGCTCAGCAGAGCATCGTCGCCACTTACGTGAGTTTGTTTTTTCCCCTAAGTTTCTGTAGTGACTCTGGGACAATCTTCCAGTGCTGACAGCGTTCTTGTAGTTGTGTCCATGGTGGAATCATCCTTTGTCCTGGGATAAAAGGGCCACCGTGTTACAACACTTCTCATGTTGGCCAGGGACCCAGGAAGCTTACTGTACGTCCTTGGGCTGGTAACTCTTGCTCAGCCTGACCTTCTGTATGAGATTCTTTTTTTTATTGATGGTAAAACAGGGGAGGAGAAAGCCATACATCCCTCTTGTGTTTATTCAAGGCAAGGCAGAATATAAAAACAAGTAATAATGTAAACAAAACTGAAAGCAAAATACTTGTGAGTGTTTTAATGAAAAGCAGTGTAGACACTTTCAAAAATTAAAAAAAAACCATCTTCTCTCCACCTCTCCTTTTTGTAGGTATTTATCTTCATTGGTGAGACCCTCCTCTCCCTCAACTGGGCTATAGTAGCTGACATGCTTCTGGTGAGACTATGGGGAAAGCAGGTGGGAGGCCAAACGGGGTCATGCACTAAGAATGTGGAATTACTAGTAGGATGTTAGGATGTGATGCAAGTGCCTGCATGGTATATGCTACCCCTAGTTTTGGTTGTTTATCCAGAACAGATACACTGGCAGACTATTCCACCAAAATATCTGAGGAGTTGCACCAGTTCTGCTTCCATGGTGGTGCTACCCCTTCTGCTCTGCCAGCATAACAGATGTCCCATCGTATTGTATATCCTCATGGTTTGTGCACCTCAAGTATAGGCTTGTACTTTTCATACTATATTGGGCCAGAAAATCTTTCATGGGCTAGACTCCCCTTATCAGATTGCATGAAATCTCCAGCTAAATTCTCTGGATTCAGACGGAGAAATGGGGTGAGGTAGGCTGTTAACGAGACCAAAAAGCCCAGCATCACTGAGGGAGCCTTATATTAAGATTAATCAGGTGAAGGCTGCACGTTTGTGGAAACAATACAAATACAGGAACAGGTGATCTCTTTAATTAACCATTAAGAATATATATATATATAAAGCAAACAGCAAGCTTTTGATGATAAATCATCATATTCAAGGCTGTGCATCAAGTTATTGTGGGTAGTCCCAAACTTGTATGCTGCTGTTAATGTCCCAGAATCACATGGCTGAATGATGATGAGGCCGGGTTTGCTTCTTGGGTGGAGATAGTGCAGTATGCAAGTTAGTTTCAAGCTCCTGTTCAGCTAGCAGTTTGGAATTTATGGCCCATCTCTTAAAACAGAGGATAGTCAGGCAGTGGGGGGGAGCACTCCCCCTTTTCTGCTTTTTTGAACTGAAAGAATTTCTTTTCAGCTAAGGGAGGAAAGATTAAGGTTGTGAAAATGCCTTGAGATCTATTCATTGTCCAGAAGAGGGCGCTGGCAAATTGACTCTGCTTTCTTTCCAGTATGTTGTCATCCCCACCCGCAGATCTACAGCAGAAGCTTTCCAGATCCTCTTATCTCATCTTTTGGGTGATGCTGGGAGCCCTTACCTCATTGGTTTGGTGAGTGCTTGGGAGGTTCATATTCTCATCTGTTTCGGCCCTCAAGCAGCTAGTCTTTCCTTTGTTGCATGCTCTTTCTCAGCATTTAGCATCGTTCTTCTTCGTGGTCTCTGTGAAATGCACACTAATGGGTTAATCTGCACTGTCCTATGTATCGCTAAAGCGATGGATTTTGATGCACAGCAACTAGTAGAGTCTGAGTCAGATAAGGTTTATGAGGACATCGATGATCACCCCCACCCCCCACTCTGTATGGGGTTTATTCCATCTTTGCTCAAACCGATTAAACAATCTTGGGATAAACCATCTTCTGTGCCACAAATCTCCAGACGAGTTGAAAATTTATACAAGACTCATGGAGACAATACGGCTTTTCTATCCAAGCATCTGCCCCCAAACTCGGTCATAGTCAATGCAACTCAAAACAGAGCAAAGAATTGGTCTAACACCACACCAAATAACAAGGAAGGCAGGAAACTCAACATCATTCGTTGTCGGGTATACTTCCTAGCATCCTTCACATTACGCACTAACTACCTTGCAGCTATGGATGCATGCCACTGTTTCTTATGGAACAAAGCAATTCCTTCTCTTCAATTGGCTCAGGGCAAATATAAATCTAGAGGCCTCGCTTTCCATCAAGAGGCCATGGCTATCACACGCCAGGAGTGTATCACAGCAAGGCACATAGCCACAGCCATTGCCCTTTGAAGACATGCTTGGCTCCGCTCAGCCCACATCTCGGATGATTCTCGCATACGGATTGAGGATCTACCATTTGATGGAGTTGGCCTTTTCAATGAGATCCTTGATAATCAGTCTATCCATTAGGGGGAGGCAGCCAAGCTCATTAAAACTGAGAGCTTCATAAACTATTGCAGCTTAATATGATACAAACTTTCTACCATGTTCAAGTTTTGTTGGTAAGTCTGTTTTAGTGCCTGCTACTTTGTGAACTAAGACTGGATCCCATGAGAAGCAGGGCCTTTTCCTTTGCAACTACAGAGCTGTGTGATTCTCTTTCCCTGTGTGAATCTTTTCCCTTTATGTCCCTTGCTAGGCTGCTCTGAGTGGCAAATACAAATGTTTTCATCTTGCAGAAACTTCAGGAATTAATTGAAAGTACTGTATATGTTTTTCTGGCTTTAACTCTAGTAAAAATTACTCAAAATGAATTGCACAGTCTGGCATCCTTCTGGCATTTGTGTAACGCTGTAGCTGATTGTGGTTAATTGATGAGGTACTCTTGCTTGTGTGTATGAGACCAAGCATGTGACCAAAGCATTCCCTGGCACCTCATCAATAAGCAACAATTAGCAAGTTGTGTAAACCTTACACAAACACCAGCAGGATTCTGACCACAAGCTTTTACTGTGTGAATTTTCAGAAATGTTACAATACAAGTATGTGAATTAGCTTGGGAAGGTGAATTTGTGTATAGATGAGCAAACTTACAACAGTGCCCTGTGCCACCAATAGTTATAAACTAACAATATTCTTTCTGGTGCAGAAAAGAAGAAAAACTGACAAGGCAGGATTTTACTATTTATGTCACTTGGTACCTGTTGTTTCAAGGGGGACGTGGTGGCACTGTGGGTAAACCACAGAAACCTCTGTGCTGCAAGGTCAGAAGACCAGCAGTCATAAGATTGAGTCTATGCAGTGGAGCGAGCTCCCATCACTTGTCCCAGTTCCTGCCAACCTAGCAGTTCAAAAGCATGTAAAAATGCAAGTAGATAAAGAGTTACCACCATGGTGGGAAGGTAAAGGCGTTCCATGTCTAGTCACGCTGGCCATGTGACCACAGAAATTGACTATAGACAAACACTAGGTCTTTGGCTTGGAAACGGGGATGAACACTGCCCGCTAGACTTGGATACGACTGGACTAAATATCAAGGGGAACCTTTTCCTTTACCTTACTTGTTGTTCCTCCCTGTGCAACCAGAAAAACAACACATGGCCTCCTTCCCTACATCCAATTCGAATCACACTCCTATTGGTTTTGCTTGCCTTGTGGGTATTTCATATCTATTTGCTGACCTTGTGGATGTTTGATAACAGTTTGCTGGCTTTTCTCTTACTCTCTGCCCCAGATCAGTGACCGAATCCAGGTCAGTCGCCCCCTGTCACACCTGTCACAGTTCAGAAGCCTTGAATATGCACTAATGGTCTGTGCCTTCGTGGGAGTTATTGGCGGTGGTTTCTTCCTAGCCACGGCTTGTTTCATCCAAGCAGACCGCAAACGTACAGAACTGTACACTCAAGGTAAAGCCCCTCGACGTTCCCACTCAGAGTTGAGATGTAAGGTTTGAGGAATCCTGCCTTAATGATGCTGGACCAAACAAGCTAAGATGGCTTTGTCATGAATTATGGGAGGGCTGGGTATGCCTAGAATGGGAAAGTTAGTCATTTACTCTGATATAATGGAACTTCTCCTTGTCTGTTTCTGCTGGACCAAACAAGCTAAGATGGTTTTGTCATGAATTATGGGAGGGTTGGGTGTGCCTAGAATGGGAAAGTTAATCATTTACTCAGATATAATGGAACTTCTCCTTGTCTGTTTCCTTTTGTACCTACTTAAGAGCAGCCAGTGTAGTAGTGTTTGGATAACAGGAGTGTCTTTTTAAAGGCTGCCACATTTCCAGTAGGGTGTATGTAAGCAAGCATAGGTGCACAAGGACCTATATTGCAATGCAGGAAATCAAGAGAACTAGCTTCCCCAAGCCAGCTGGGGAAGTAGACCCTATGCACTTGGAGTTATCCAGTAGCAAGACTATGGGGATAAGATGAACCAGGAGATTCAGTTGTAACCCCCTTCCCCTGATGACTGGACAGTGCTCTTGAATTCAGACCTTGACCAGCTCCTCTTGTCTCCTTCCAGGACAGTTACACGAATCATCGGAACGTGAAGATCGCCTTGTTGTTCCTCAGCACGGCCGATCAACCAAAGTTCCCGTCTCCAGTGTCCTAATCTGAAGTCCACCCTTGCCTCTTCTTTCCAGCCTAAGGAAGAAGACTGAACCTGTGGCCTTCCGTGTTCAGCACAGAAGAGGGAGATAAGGACTCTCTTGAGTGGACCCTGGGTGGGAAGTCTTATGGACAGCAGGGGAAAGTCACATTTTTGATGTTGTGTGTTGGATTTTTATAAAGCACTAACTTTATCCAGAGTCATGTGTTTTTTGCATGGATGGGGTGAAACTGCAGAACCCCTCCCCACAAAGTTATCACTTTGTTCCATCCCCCTCCCCCCATATCTTAAACATCAAGGCTGTGTTCATGGGGTCCTAAGCAACTGCCCATCCAAGTACTGACCATCATGTGGTGTTTTTCGCATGGATGGGGCGGGACTGAAGAACCCCTTCCCACAAAGTCATCACTTTGTTCTATCCCCCTCCCCCCCATATCCTAAACATCAAGGCTGTGTTCATGGGGACCTAAGCAACTGCCCATCCAAGTACTGACCAGCTCCGATGTGCTGCTGCATGTTGGTTACATCTGTCTCTCTTCAGACCAGAGGAAGCATAGGGGGAAACCATTATTGGTATAATTGGCTGAACAGTTCAGTGGGGTGGAACACCTGGCTGCAGAGTTCAGTTGCTCACTGTGCCTCCAGGAAAGAAAAAAAAAACAGTCTCTGTTGACTTAGGCAGGGTCCCAGGTTACCATCGGAAGGACTGGTAAATAATTTCTCCTTACTTTTTACCTAGAAAACTCCACAAAGTTTCTCCAAAAATCAAAATCTTCTGGTATTGGCACATAAGTTTTATTTCTCCATCTGTGTAGTGAGACAGAGTAGAAGAGTGGGATTTAATGGCTTATGACTGTCAAAGGGCAGCATTCAGCAATTTGGCCTGAGAAAAAGAAGCTAGAATCCTTGAAAACAATTAGTTTAAAATTGCCTTTAATACCTTTTGGGCAAGATATATGAAAAAGGCTTTTGGCTGTTAAGGAAAAGTGGTTTGATATTTCAGACCAACATTCCTGAGTTTAAAATGTGGTTAAAATTATATGATAATACATTATTATTATAATTATAATAAAACACCAGGCACAGTAAATCAAAATTATAAAAACATTGACAGATACAAGTTTTAACCAAAAACCTAAGTATCTGTTAAATATCAGCGAGAAATATATGCCGTATTTTTCCACATACAAGACTCTACTTTTTCCTAAAATAATTATCTAAAAATTGAGGGGCATCTTTTATATGGAAGTAAGCTGAGGTTATGGTCTGTACCTTGCCTCTGTAAACAGGCTTCCTTCAATCACAAGGTTTAGCTTCCTACAGTCACGAGTCTTATGGAACTGATGTCAGCTGATGCTGAACAAACCATTTGGAACACACCTCGTTGGAGGTGGAGCCTGTAGTCTCAGATGCAACAGCGACTCGTAATTTCCGAGCGTTCTGAGCCCAGAAGCTGAATACTCAAAGCTAAGTTTTCTTAATTTTTGGGTAAGAAAACTGGGGGAAGATCGTCTTATAAACAGGGGTATCTTATAAATAGAAAAATATGATATGCTCTTCCTAATATTGCTGTTTTCTGGCACTCTGATGGTGTGATTTCTGAGATCTGCAACTGCTTATAGTACTGTGTGAAATTTCTTGATATTGTTCTCAAACCCCAATGACGATGGGGACCACTAAAGTGTGTTTCTTCCAGAGGCAAAATGTTTTGATTGCCAGGTCTCTATATTTTGTGAGTTTTTCCTAGTCTTTATTTTCAGCTCTGGCATTCCCTGGAATTACAATGTCAATGATCCAGGCATTTCTTTGTTCTATTACTATCACGTCTGGTGTGTTATGTTCAAGGTGTCTATCTGTTTGGATCTGGAAATTCCACAAGATCTTGTCTTCCTCATTTTCTGACACCTCCTCTCCCTGATGTTGGCCCAGAAAAGAGCGGGGAGACATTTTTTTTACCTGACAGCCATTTTGAAACTGCCGATCAGCTGGCCGAAAATCATCATTTTGCGAGAATTGGTTCCCAAAGCAGGGAACCTATCATCGGAAAGTGAAATTCCCCCATTGAACCCATCGTAAAGTGATCGCTTTTGCGATTGCTAAAAGTTCGTCGTAATGCGATTTTGACGTTAAACGGGGCACTCATCTTGCGAGGCACCACTGTACTTTGTTAGTTTTTCCCATTCTTTATTTTAAACTCTGGCATCACCTGGAATCGCAATGTCAGTGATCTGGTCATTTCTTTTTTCTATTACTACAATGTCTAGTGTGTTGTGTTCAAGGTGTCTATCTGTTTGGATCCGGAAATCCCACAAGATCTTGACTTCCTCGTTTCTGACACCTCTCCCTGATGTTCCCATGGGTTTTTGGAGACCAGCAAGTTATATTTTTTGCATAATGACCATTGCACTAACTTTGCCACTCTGTCATGTCTAACTTTGTAATCTGTTTGTGCAATTTTTGGACATCCATAGATGAGGTGTGACACAATTTCATCTTTTTCTTGGCAGAGTCGTCATTTGCTGTTAGCACTAATTCCTTGGATCTTAACTTTCATCACGTTGGTTTGGAGTGCTTGTTCTTGTGCAGCAAAAATCAAGCCTTTGGTTTCTTTCTTAAGGGTCCCCATTTTTAGCCACGTCCATGTTGAATTATGATCACGCTTTCCATCATCATCATTATTCAAGATGGGGTTAATAATATGACAGCATATATTATTATCATCAACAACATCATCATTTTGGTGATATCCTTTTAGTCTTTGCAGGTTAAAAGATTTATTCCCCCACTTTTAACACTGTGTTTTCTTCCGAAGCATTCAACTGACTTGGGAAACACTGTTGGCTTAATTCCCAGGGTATAGAGGATGATTGATCTGCTAATTATTGCATCACAATGAACTCTGATCTCTGTAGCTTGCTGGTCTGAATGGTCAAAGAAGAGCAGTGTCAGGAGCTGTGAACCATTTTTGGGGGAATAGTGGAGGAATTGGGTGGTGCAGTTTGAATGTCTTTGGATCTTTAATGTAGCCCTATGTGTCTTAGCTGTACCAGGGAGGACAGAAAAGGAAAAGTACTTTGCTTGGAGTGTGTCTTGTTGTTTAACACCTCAGCATACAAGGAAGGCTTGTGAATATCTGGCTTGCAGACCAGTTTTCTAGAGCCAGCACAAGTCCTGTGTGGTTTTTCCTGAACTGTAGAGTAGTCTATTGACTAGATGGGTGGGATATAAATTCAATAAATAAAATAAATAAACTGCACCAGTTTTTACAGACAGGGAGAGGATGCATCTTTGAAAACTTCCATGCATACAGCAGAACATCAGAGTTGAAGGAAGAGTAGTCCCAATATTTCTGTTCACAAAAGTGGAAGTGGAGGGAAGAGTGTTGTGTTCCTCCTGTGCAAATATATTGAGAATGAGGGAGTGCTTTTATATTAAAAACAGTTTGAGATGTGGGAATCCTTCCTCAAGATGCTCAAAACAATTAGCAGGGAGGAAAGGAGAAAGTGGGTTTCTGGTCTTCCTCCCCCCCCCTAAAAATTAATCCCTTCCTTCATATACACGAGCAAGGCAGACTCCCCATTATACGTATCTGTTTTGACTCTGACAGCCTGCTCATTGGAAAGGTTCTGCTTTCAGGGTGTGGCGAGGATATTGAAATCTATCGCTGCTCTCCCCCTCCTGAAATGGCACGTCCAGGAAAAAGCCATACCACTTGATTCTGCTAATTATGTAACCTTACTTTCTTTTCTTACTTCCTTGCTTGAACAAGGTTAGACATTTTGACATGTGTCTCTGAATCCTCAGCTCGCTCTCCTTGTGCAAAAGGTTCCTTTGGATGGCATATGTTTCTCCCCAAAGAACCTATCCTTAAACATTGCTCCTCTTCAGAATGCAAAAAAATTATCCCAATTAGCAATAGAGCATTTCCACAATATCCCTGAGGAAGTAGACTTGTCCACAAAAGCTCCCATTATAATATAACAGTTAGTTTTTAAGGTGTCACAATGTTTTTGTCTTCTTCATTTTTTACTTTTATTTTGTTTTTGGCCAATTAACCTACGTAGCAATTCCTGTAAACTGCTTTTAGTTTGTCAAGATGAGGTGGGTGAGAATGTGGTTTGTCTTTTTCATAAGAACTTTCCAAAATTGGCTACATTTTTCATAAATGTTATAGAATTTGAGGTCTTTAAATATTCTTTGTGTAAGAGAAACAGAAATTAACGGATTCTCATGCCCAGGCACAGCAGTTTCAGAGCTTAGCTGTTAAAATCTGGTTTATGAATCATGAATAGTGATAAATTAAGGCTGATGTCTCTGTTTTCATTTCGGTTTTGCTCTGAACAGGGTCTCATTTGTAACATCTTCAAGGAAGGCATACATAGCATGGTACTTTCTGTGATTTGCTGAATTTGACTAGAGCGTATGGTGAAAATGAGGCTTTAAAAAATGTAGATAAAACAAAATTGACAGATTCATCTGGTTTTGATTGCCACCATGATGTGGACTGAGGACTAGTCCCTTGGTGCTGCCTATACGAGGTTTGAAAAAATGTAGACAAAGCAAAACTGTCAGATTCATCTGGTTTTGATTACCACCATGACATGGAGTGAGGACTAGTCCCTTGGTGCTGCCTATACCAGCCAGTATCACCCCCTTACACATATACACACAATGTATAGAACAGTATGAAAAGTTAGAAGGAAATGAGACAACTATCAGAAAAATGTGGAGGACTGAGAACTTGAGAGGGTGGAATTGCTCACTGAACAGGGTTTATTGATCAAATATATTTTGGGAATAAGCATTCCCAAGCAGACAATGTCTTAGTATTATTCCTTCAATTTACCTTTAATAATAATAGTAATTCATAGAATCATAGAATAATGAAGTTGGAAGGCCATCAAGTCCCAACTTCCTGCTCAATGCAGGATATCTGCAGGATGGTTGTCTAAATTTCTCTTGAATGCCTCCATTCCACTGCCATACTTCTCTGACAGTTAATTGCATGCTATCAGGTCAGTTCTAACTTAGAGCAAACCTTTCCAGGGGTTTTAAAGTAGCGAATACACAGGTTTACCATTCCCTGGGACTGCCCAAGGCCACATAGGCTGGCTCTACGTGCAGGAGGCACTGTGGGGAATCAAGCTCCTAACCTCTGGCTCCGCAGCCAAGTACCTACACCACTGAGCTATCCAGCTG